CAATAATTATAATCAGGACGAATTCGCTATACGAAGAATTATTAAGTACCATATTTCTGCCGTTATTGCCGAAATACTTGAAAAACGTATATTACAGAGAATGGAAAACTGCAAACCTTAAGGAAAATTCTGGTTGAAAATACAAAACTTCTATATAAATTAAAATATTAGAACCATCTTGATATTCGAGAGGAAGTATATATCAAACAATTCTCTCCTACCATCAACCTTACATTATTTAATAGTGGAAATGGAGTGTTAAGAGTTTTTAAAAATAAAAAATAGAAAGATGCACTCGCTTATTCTAGCTTCGCGCGGCATGTGAAAGCTTGGAATGAAAAACAACGTAAACATAATGTACAACGTAACTTCAAGACATGAGGAAAAAATAACAACACCAGAGACAAAATACCCTTGAAAATAGTGTAGATGTGGCCGAAAGAGCGTGTGACAATAAAAATTATATTCATTAACGCCTATAAAACTGAAAAATGTTAGGATGCTGGAAAAATCTTTAAAGAATTCTTCAGGGTGAGCCGTATTTAATGAATATATATATATATATATATATATATATATATATATATATATATATATATATATAATATTGGGATCAAATTCAGGGTCAAACATGGATCGAAATCTGACAGAATTATATGATAAAGAATAAATAGATAATGTTTAGCTATCTAACAGGCTTCACTTGAATTAAAGTTTATCTGATGAAGCTTTAATAAATGCAAAACGTGGGTACATCACACATCCAATTTTACACTAGTGGCAAAATTCTAGTTTTTCAAATTCTGCATTTTATCTCTGTACATTTGAGCTGTGGATAAATTGTGTTTGTACATGCACATACTCATATTAATGGAAGCGTAAGCTGCCACAAACGTACGAATGACATCATATGCTTACGAAACATGATGCTGAGTATGGAACCGGCTGTTTCAAAATTCAAGTTTGATTAAAAAGAACCGATAAGGCCTGTCTGTTTAATTTCTTATTGTCTTTTTTTAGTTTTCGATTAAAGAGTTAGGTATTGTGCTGTAAGTTTTGAACAAACTGTCCGAAGTTCATAATTTGTTGCAGTTTTCTTAATCATTTCCTACCAAATAAGACACTAACGTCACGAGAACGCAGGATTGAAAGTGAAAGATAATGAGAATATTGAAAATGGAGAAGATTGAAGAAAGAACAAAAAATGAACAGGGTTCAAGAAAACAGAAGATCACGATTAACGTTGCATTTAAAACTTTAAAGATTGTAGTTATCAGGGAAGCAAGAAATCAAAAAGGAAATCCACAGATGGGAAGTGTGTGAAAAATGTTACAGTAGAAGTGACGGTTGCATCTAGCTAGTTAAAAAGTAAAACAGTGAACCCTAGTTGCCAATCTAGTATCACGCTTAAATCCATGTAGTCAAGGTGCCAGAGAAAAAAAAAGCTGATCAGAGCAGCTGCCATGAGAATATATATAGAAAAGACAGAGGGAAACCACGTCACGTCGTGAGACAGTGACTGAAGCCGAGATGCGTGGTAAGGACCGATAACATTACTGACTCTTCTTTATAGACAATCTTTCTTTACCGTGTGCGTCTGTGCGTACGTGTGTATAAGTTTTGTTTCTCCAGACCAACTGCTGATGTACTGACGATAATTGCTGAAAGAGTCTATCAAGCTCTAGGTAAGAATGGTGAGCCCAGGCTCTAGCTTTGCACATCTCGAATTCTTTCGATGGGGTTTGGCATGGCAGGTATTCTCCAAAAGCTGAAAAGCTACGGCATCTCTTTAGAATTTTTAACTGATCCAATCTTTCCTATCAAATTGTGAAATGGATGTTGTTTTCAACGGCCACTCTTCCAGACCCTTTCGTACAAATGCAGGTCCTAATTTGTCCGTCCTGGGTATGACGATAAACTACATCAGCATCCTGGGTAAGGCAATGAACTACCTCCGACGGCAAGGCCTTTGATCAGGAGGTTTTGAGGAGCATGGAACCACCTCTTAATTGCTGCTGTTCCCAGGTCCACCCTGACCCTGTGAGGGTCCCAGCTTTGGGAAAATAACCGCAAAAAGGGGTCAAAACACTATGAAAGTATAAAAATAGGTTTTAATATCAGCGACATATATTTGGAAAAATTAGTACCAGCAGGACATTTTTGAAAAAAAATATTACCAGCAATACATTTTTGAAAAAAATATTACCAGCAATACATTTTTGAAAAAAATATTATTACCAGCAATCAATAATCTGGTCGGCATTAAATAACCTACTGAGGTTGATATGCCGTAAAACAAACCAAACCAAACCTAATTTGTTTTTTTTAATTTTAATTAATGACCTTCCCGATAACACCAGCTCTCAACTTGATATCTACGCTGATGATATAAATAATTTACCCCAATCACAATAGTAAGTCTGCTCAGTTTGATGAGGTCAAAATGGCAATTGATATCCAAAATAACCTTCAATCTGTTGTTAACTGGGGCAAAGTATGGCTTGTTAACATTAACGTCTCCAAAATTAATTTGATCTCTATTAATCATTTAAGAGACGATTCTCTGCCTTCTATCATCATGGCTGATGTTGAATTCTATGGGCAGTGACTCGCCGCGGCTTCTTGGGCTCACGTTCTCGGCTAAGATGAAGTGGAAAGACTATATTGAATTCATTGTATGGTCAGATGTCAGGAAGGTTTGTTCACTGTATCGTGCTAGAGTATTTTTCTATCCAGAGTCTATCTTACATGTTTATGTCTATCATTCGTCTATACTTTGAATATTGCTGCCACATATGGTCTGGTGATCCTGATATCTCTCTAGAGAACCTTGATAAAATACAAAGACGAATCGGCAATATTATTGGCCTCGATCTGGCGTCTCGGCTTCAGTCACTTGCCCACCGGCGTAAGGCTATTTCCTTTTTGCCTTTTCTATAAATACTTGTAATTGTTCGGATGAGCTAATCGCTATGGTGCCGAGACACTTCGAATTTTAGCGCAGTACTAGAATTTGTACTGGCTAGATGTAACCGTAAATTCTATACTATCAGTTTCTTCTATCGCACTTCTTGCTTGTGGAATGTCCTTCCGTCTCCACACATTCCAACCAAAATTGTGCAAAAACTTAAATGCATTGTCAATCACTATCTGCTGCCCCCCTCCCCGATTACCCTTCCTCTGTTCTCGCTCCTTTAGCAGTGTTCCTGTCTCTTCCACACCTAGTAACCCCTTGCGTCTCGGTGGCTTTTTTGTTGTTCATGTTCTTCGGCTGGAAAGTTTTCCGTTGGCTCCATCGACAATTTTATTTGATTTTTCTTTAATATATATATATATATATATATATATATATATATATATATATAAAAGAAATAAAACAAGATTGAGGAGTTCTAAAAGGTCAAATTTGTACTGTTAAAAAGTGCTCTGTTTATCTTAGATTGCCCTGGATTGGATCTAAGTGTGAAAGTATAATTAGGCAGATTTCATCTAATGTTCGTCGTTGTTTTTTCTCGGCTGAGGTTCGCATAGTTTTTCAAACTCGGTCTATGTTTCATTCTGGGTGTAAGGATGTTCTCCCTCCCCATTAAATTAATTCTGTTGTTTACAAATACAATTATAGTTGCGGTGCTGACTACATAGGGAGAACGACTCAACGCCTCGGCATGAGAATTAAACATGTTCCCACTAAGATCAGGAATCACACCTCGTCTTTGAATGAACGTGTCCCAAATACTTATGGTTCCGCCATATGCAAACACCTCTTAAATAACAGAGGGCATGCTGCTAATTTTAGTTGTGACTGGTTCACTGTTTTGTCTCGGTCACACCTTTTATTTCACCTCAAGGTGCTGGAGGCACTTTATATCGGGTCCCGCAAACCTTCCCTGTGTAAACAGCGTGAATGTTTGTTGGGGGTCGCTCTCATTTGTCTCTAACTTCTTTTGGTCGTTTTTTTCCTTCCTCTTTTCCTTCTCATTGCACATTGTCTAGTGTTTTAATTTAAGTTAAATCTCCCGTGGAGGCCTGAAGAGCGGGAGCGAAACCGGTTGCTTCGCTTTTAATATGTCAAGTAATATTAAGCTATACACTTTTATTTCTGCTATTAAATTTTGTACCTACAAAATATTTTCATATATATATATATATATATATATATATATATATATATATATATATATATATATATATATATATATATATATATATATATATATCATTAGTGTATGTTTCATTAAATAATATAGACAAGTTTTGTCTATTTATTTAAAGTTCCTTTCATATTGTCTGATAAGCTTAATAACACTATCATTGAAAGACGCGTGGTCATTTTTGTCGTTGCTTTGAAATTTTTCATTCCACAAAAACAGACTATCATTATTGTTTCGTCCGTGTATTGGTTGATATATTTAAATGTAACTGTCATCCTTGATAATGGCTTATGTAAGCCGAAAGCTTAGATTGGATTTAAACATGTATCAATATGGTGATTTCCTTTCGTCTTTCAATGATAATGTTATTAAGTTCATCAGACAATATGAAAGGAACTTACTTAAAATAAATAGACAGAACTTGTCTATATTATTTAATGAAACATGCATCAATGAAAAATTGCTGCCTAAATATACACAATATATATGTGTGTGTATGTGTGTGTTGTGTGTGTGTTTGTGTGTGCGTGTTCACATAGTGGTGCACATGTAACTAAAATATGCGTAATTTCAAAAATGTGTTTACCGCCAGAACGCTACATACTCTTCGAATGCTTTCAGTCTACGTGGGCAAATATTTCCGAATCAAAATTATTTTCATTTCTATCGTGTTTATTGTCCTATTTCTTTCTCCGTAATTGTTTTTTTTGTTTGTTTTTTTTTTTTTTTTTGGTCGGAGTGGGGGGGGGTCTCTTGTTCATGCGAATGGAATCCGCTCTGCTTGCTATTCTGGAAGAGATCAAAATTCATTTAAAGAATACCTAGAATCTGGAAGCTGAAATGACAGACATGCCCATCCGCTTCAAGGAGATTCCTTCCATCTGGAATCATACACGAATCAATCTAACAGCTTCAAACCAGTTTTTTTTTTTTGTTTCTTTCCTTCCTAATATAAATATTAAATTATTCCCAGAAAGCGAAAATTATTTTGAGAGGTACGGTAATGCCGCGATTAGAATCTGTTAATTTTGTTCTTTTTGTCACGAAATCTCATCGGGTGTAATCAAAAGTCTTTTCCAATGACATCAGGATTGCAAGAACAAACAGCTATCGTGTTTTATTTTGTCTTGTTTGTTATCATTTCCACCAAAGCGAGACAATAAAGCCATTAAGACGCAAGAGGCTACAGAGTGTCGGAGAATAGGAAATAAAAACATTATTGTGGAGAAAGAACAATAAAAGAACAAGAAGACAGAAAACAGAAGATAACGATTGACATTGCATTTAAATCTTTGAAGATCACACTTGACTGAGAAGCAAGAAGCCGGGATAGAAGAAACTGTCAGCATAGAACTTACGGTTGCATCTCGCCATTTCGACTGAAAATTGATGAGACTTTCTTGCCAATCTATTACTGCACTTAAATTCATAAAATAAAAGGAAAATGATGAGACCTTTCTGCCAATCTAGTAAAGCGATTAAATTCATGGAGTATAGATGCCATAGAGGGCAGTTCTACAGTACAATTACCATGAAAATATTTCTGGAAAAGGCATATGGAATCTATATTAAGGTGGTGGGAAAGTGAGTGCTTTATTTCAAGTGAACAGAGAATAGAACCCAAAACATAGAACTCTTACTTCCCAAGTTGATTTTTCAGTTCACCAAGAAAAAAAAGCATCTGCTGGTAGAGTTGTGGTTATCGTCACAGAAAGTTGGATTGCGTTTCGAGTTTTGAATTACAACCAAGCCCTTTGCGTTCACTTTCACTCAAATACCCTTGGGAATGGTATCAATCAATCTCTTCACCTACCCCTTCGGCTATGGGTTAAATAGTAAGGTTGTTCTCTAGCTTTGTTTGACAAATAGGCTAGTAAGAGGAAAACACCTTCAGATTTAGATTATATATATATATATATATATATATATATATATATATATATATATATATATATAAGCGGAAAACCCTGAATTCAAAACCGGTTTGGGGGTAGTGTTAGCAATTCCACCCCGTGATATGGAAATCACAACCATAATACTTAACCTGGTGAAGCTATGGCTTAAGAGTCTTCAAAAGAAAAATACAATTAATGAATTGATCGGTGTGACTTACCTAAAGTGCTAAAATGAAGGAACTACCAAATCTAAAATCAACATTTGAAAAAATCTCAACTCTAAAATTTACATATGAATTCGTGGTTAATAACAAAATCTAATTCCTTGGGGTTGGCATAGAACTAAAATCCAAAGACATAGAGACACGGAGAAAGATTTACATATGCCATAAAATGGTTGATTGCTTCATTCATTCGTTTGTTTGTCTATTTTTACGGCTTATAAACCCTTTGTGAATTATTTAACGACAAAACATATTTTTAATCGAATTTATGTATTTAATCATTTTTTAATACACGCACAAATCAATCAATCTCTTCATCTACCCCTTTCGGCTATGGGTTAAATAGTGGGGTTGTTCTCTAGCTTTGTTTGACAAATAGTCTAGTAAGAGGAAAACGCCTTCAGATTTAGATTATATATATATATATATATATATATATATGTGTGTGTGTGTGTGTGTGTGTGTGTGTGTGTGTGTGTGTGAGGGGTGTAATATATATATGGGGGGGGATATATATATATATATATATGGATGGGTTATATATATATATATATATATATATATATATATATATGTGTGTGTGTGTGTGTGTGTGTGTTGGGAACCTCGAGGTGGTGTAATGGCTAGTAAGCTTGTCTTGCTAGAGCAATTACGATTGAGTACTTTCGGCCTTGTGCCACATCTAAGCTACGCTTGGAAAATCACTATATATATGTGTGTGTGTGTATACACGCATATTTCACGCTTCCAAGTTATTTGTTCAGCTCTATTGTAAAAACTAGACAATAAAATTAATCAAATTTTCCTTGTCTGTTATAATCAATATAGACTGGCTGAATTTGGGCCACAATCTTCCATTTATATAAGATTGGTTCAATTACAAGGAAATTCCTTGGTTATTATTATTTTTTTTTTTTTTTTCATTCATGATTATATATTTTCCCGTGTCGGAATACTGTCGACCAGCGCTGGCCATATTATCATTATTTTGTTTCTTTGTTAGGCCATCGGTTTTAATCTGTTGTTTTCCAACAAATTAGTCAATATTTTTATGTAATTACCTAAATAAGTCAAAATAATTTATTACTAAATTTCTCTGCAAATATCAAAATTTGTGATCGCACTTTCAAAGTCAAGATGACCTTTAGAGCTGATCACTAATTCTTGTATAAAAAAAAGTTTTCAGAAATGTTGATAGGCACGCGTTCTGTGCCTGCGCACCCAATGCATAAAAATCTTAAAGGACGCAGTAACTTTCTTGTTTGTACGTCCCGGGGACGCAACTAAAGTTTCCCATGAAAAACGTTACATTGCCCAAAAAAAACAATGTAACTAATATATTCTTTCTGTAACCAAACGCGAATCATTTGTCAAATAAACTAATTAGTACTTAGATATATATTTTTGTTTTTAACGTATATTTTAAATTTATGAGTGCAAAACATTTTAAAACTAACAAGCGGAGATATTAATATTTAACATTCAATTATTAACTTTTCAAATAATATTTAACATGTCTCCAGACAAAAGAAATTTTCCTGTCTTGGTTGGTACAGACGGGAGAGTCCAATATTTTTTTTAATTTTAATTAATAAATACCATATTAATCATTTTATGTTATTCTTTCAAATACTTTTTACTAGTTCTTCCTTTCTTTTACTTAAAATGTCCTTGTTTTATTGGGCGGTGGGATCCGTGGGTGGCATGGAATAGATATCAATGTCGCCTTACCAGACACTTTTTGGTTAGTTTTTTATTTATTTATTTATTTTTTTTTTATTTTATTTTTTTTTTTTTTTTTTTTTTTTTTTTGACAATACTAAAAAAATCCAGTTTGAAGCCCTGCCGTTTAAAACAACAATTTATTAAGAAACTTTAGTTGGGACTCATTGAATTTGCAGGGACCCACCCAAGTCACCATCTGTGGATCCTGGGGACTATCAGCATCACTGGTTTATATTAGTACCATTTCAAAAACTTGGGGGTCAATGCAGTATTTTGAGATTGATGAATGTTTGATTAGTACAGTGCAAGGTCCAGTTAGTATCTTCTGCTGCGTGAATCTTCGAAATAGATAAAGTCTACTTTTTGTTGAAGAAAATCAACATTTGATATTTAGGTTTTTCCCTGGGCTCAAAACCCAGACCTCGTACCCAACTGGGTAATGCATATTTTAACCACAATACAAGTTACAGTGCACTATACTCTAAGAAAGAAGGCTAAACCTCTGGACGTAGGCGATCCTGGCTATCCACAATTTACTATTCTTTGTAGCTTTTAGTAAATTCCACCTTTTCATTATCTCTCATAATTTATGTTCTGCCAACCATATAAGCAAGCTCGTTAGTCAGGTGCCAAGCGTTGTTTTCCTCTGTCCCTCTTTCCTTCAATATATCCTATCAGTGTGTCGGGATCCGTCTACCCAGTTTTTTGTTGCTATCCGAGTGTCGGGATTCCAAACATTTAACAACAACAACACATCTTTCAAATAAAACATATAAAACGTTCGGTTAGCAAGGTCGAATTTACTGTCTTTAAACTTCCATCTTCCATGAATTTCTCACGTACATTCATATCTGCTCAAAGCGGATACAAATGTAAACAAATGACATCACACATTATGAAATGGACAAAGTTTGACAATTAATTTAAGACATTTTTGTTTATACATTCTTTTTATAGATACAAATATTTAAGTAAATGTTCTGTTTATAATTAACAGTATTAAACAACATTTTCCGGCCTGAATGTCCGAGAAATTTTCCCAGAAAATATTCATCCTCCGACAAAGCATCTCTTCGTCCTGCATGTACTGCCATATAGGAGGACATATGTTGCATAACAGTTAAGTATTCTTTCTTTTGTTTCTAACGATGTTTAATTGTTTGCGCATGCTCACAGAACATCTGGACAATATTACGTCAAGTCTAATCTACCGACAGCCTAAACATAAAAGGTTTTCTTCACTCTAGGTATCTTTTTTTTTTATTTTCAGAATCAGGTATAAACTTAACTTTTGTCTGAACTTGTACGCTAACAACTGGTACTAAATTCAAACTTGTTTCACTAAAAAACAGGCGGATATGTTTTGAAGAATTGTATTTGCGGGAAATACATATAACGCTTACTCACAGATTTAATGTTAGAGAACAGGGTGTGGTGGCAATTTTAAAATGGCGGCTTAAAGGAATTCACGATAGTCAGGGCGGTTCTCTGCTCAATATATATATATATATATATATATATATTATCCAGGGAGTGGATCAGATTTTAAATACCTATTCATTTAGTTAAATGATTAATGATTGTAACTGCAGTAATCTACGCCATTAATACATGGGGATTGTTTTATTCAATTGTTTTTAATCGAAGCTTACTGGTAAACGAAATTTGAATTAACCCATTCTGGGAGGGGGTCCAATCTTTCTTTCGTATTTATTATTGTTATTATCATTTTTAATTATAATAATAAACAAAATGGTCAAAATAAGTCTTCCAATATTTTCCAACACTTAAGAGAATAGCGATTTAAGAAAAAAAGAAAAGAAAAGAAACAGTGTTTGACAGTGTCCAACAATATTTCAACAGTATATCCATCTTCTTCAAATTATATGTTTTTTAAATGTTCATGTATAAAAGCATAAACATTTACAAAAAATTATAAGTCTTTGTACAAATGATGCTTGTCTACGATTTATTACTGATTGAATACAGTAATTGTGGCACAAAAAAAGGAAGAAGATGCGTCAAGGTTAGTCGACACTAAGTATCCTATACCTAGCTAATCAGATTTACGATCCATTTATTCATTACAATTTATTCATTCACCATAAGAATCAATCCATTACCATTCGCTCTTCCATACATCAAAATGCATTACA